AAGGAAGTCTCTATATCATTGTCATTATCGAGAACCAAGACAATCTTTACTTCGATATTAATGAATAACGTTCGATTTTAATTACAAAATATATGATAGAAGCACTTTAAATTAACGTTATTCACTTTGTATTTTCTTCGGTTATTAATTTATTTATTAATTAAAAAGAATATATTATAAATATTCTATAAATATTATAAATAAGCTATATTAATTCAAATTTGTATTTGGCGACATATTTTTTTTTAATTATTGGATGAATAATAGTCAAAGATATTTTCTAAAAATATTACAGGACGGACCAAAAGTTAGTTAACTGTTATATAATCTAAATTGCCATCTTATTAAAATACTTTATTACTAAAAAAATTTACGATATTTTTTCGAATGAGATCTATTCATTAATTAATACACAATCACAACATTGTATAAATTAAATTCTTTGGGTAATTTGTTCGCGCGATTCGTACGGTTACCTGACTTTTGGGCCACTCTATATATTTCAATGTTTAATTCTTCCGTTGTATTTTGTATTCACATTTTAATAAATTGTGAAATTATTTTAAAATACTTAACTATTTCATAAAATATAAATAAGCTAATTTAATTTACAGAATTTAATATTATTTAAATATATACTTTACATTTTATTCTATGCAAATTCTATATTATTACTTTATAAAAGTTATGCAGAAACAAAATTAATTTTTCAGATGAAAGTTAAATTACTTTGAAAATTCTATTACAGTATTATAAAGTTATTTTAAAAGTTTAAATTAAAATATATAAAACGGTAATAGTTGTATATAATTTATAATTCTAATAAAAGTATAGCAGTTTGAATATTTCATATTAAAAAATTGATATAATTTCATTATATAATTTTTTTAAACAGGAAGATTTTATTTAGCTTAATCTGTGTCATTAATCTTTATTTTTAGGACATAGTTTTTTTCTCTTTCCTTAAAAAATAATTGTAAATTATGATGATGATCATCATCATTATCACCATCTCTTTGTAATTTAATTAAAAAATTTAAAACTTAAAATACAGTTTACTCTAGATATACTTGAACTCTCAATCTTTATAGAACTCTCTATGTCTTTATAGAAGACATAAAGAAAATTATTTATAATATGAAAGTAATCTCTGTGATTAAGATGTGTTGTAATTTAACTGGAGCAATCACTTAACCAGTTACAATATTATTTTTATTTATTTATTTTTTCTGTGCCACTGACTTGTTCAGATTCTATAGTTGTCTGAGTATTCAGAGACTTTGCCAAGATTCCTAACACGAAGGTCGTTGAGTAAATTTGTATCAAGAAGTTCAGATACATATTACCAAAGTGTACCACGAATAGCATTAATATGCGACTCCATTTCTACGATTCTTTGCCTTGCATCTTCTTTAAATTTCTAAAATTACGAATTAATATAAATCTGTATTAAATATCTAACAGTTTCTTTAAATAAATGTTTTAAATGAGATTTAAAATAGAATTGCTTTGATAGTTTTAAATATTTTCTTGATATATGAGTAGTCAATACAATCTGCTGTGTATCAATTACAAAAATATTGCAAAATTCTTTGAAGTTTTTCTTCTTTTTTTTAATCAAGATTGCTTTCTATATACAGAGTTTGTAATCTGTTCCAAATTTCTAGACTTAGAATAGAATTCGGAATTTAAATATTCTAAGATTTTTATCATGTAAATGTACAGTACAATAACATGAAATTCTAGTTTTAAATTTTAGTTTAAAAATATATGCACTATGAAATCTCGATTTAACCCAACGTTTTCTTGTCTCTTAAATTAACGTCAAATCGAGGGAGGCGTTATTTAGGGGTATTATATCGAGATTTCACTGTAGACTCTTGATTTTTGACCACTCGATATAGTAAATAATTTTCTATGTTCTTGCTATTCTTCATTAACATTAAACGAATATTCTTGCTGCTCTCTATATAGTAAACTCTAAATATAGTGAATGATTTAGCTTATCCTTTGAAAGTTCACTATACCGAGGGTCTTCTGTATATTAGTTGATTAACAGTATTTTTTTTTTAAATTTTACGGTAGATAAAAATATAATCACGATATTACAATTTAATATAATTTTTAAACCTGAAACACGTGATCGAAAATTGTTTTTTTAAATAAATATTATATTAAAAAGTATTAAGTTAAAAAAAATATATTAAAATAATTCCAAAATTAGTCGAAAACTTAAGATTTTTAGAGGTGAATATCTCGTGAATTACTTCCCTTCATTACAGTGAGAATTTACAAAATGCTTTATAAATTCTATTAAGGAAAGTTTAAAGTTAAGAATTTTTATTAAAGTTGAATCAGTTAAACTTTTAATTATTTTTTCTTTTTTCTTTTATTTTTTCATTTTTTAAGTAAGTCAATTAACAGTCAGCAACGCAGAGATTCAATAAATTTTTGAATTCACGATGAAATTTAATGCAATGTTGTACCATTTAATTATATTTTGGAAAAGTTTAATTAAATTTTATTCTTAATTTTTAATGAATTTATTTTATTTATGTAAACGGGAAATACTTTAAAGTTATTTACAATTACTCAAAAATATCTTAATTATTGTAAACATAATGTAAATTGTCAAAATTTTGAACTTTTATGCATATTTAAGTGTTTTTATATATTTATTACAATTATATATAAAATTGTAATTTATAACGAAAATATAATATAAACCAATTTAAATATAAATTTATATTAAAATTTTTAATTTTTTACGTAAATTTCTTAATACAAATTCCATTATATATTGATTGATTGAATCATTANAATTCAGAGCTTGATCTATATATAGACATGTATGTATTTATTTTTATGTATGTATATATATATATATATATATATATTCATATACAGTATTATATATATATATAATCCTGTATTTGCAATATTGTATGTATGTACTGTACGTATGTATATATAGTAAAACCTGTCCAAGACGGAACCTGAAATAAACTGAAACTTGCCTAAATGGAAATAATTTATCGGAATTGAATGATTTTGTGTGTTAAAAAATCCTTTCAAAACGGAAACCTTTCAGACCAGAAAAAATATTCAGTGCCATGCAATTCCGGTCCGGTTTATACAGTTTATATATAAGTGCAATATATTGTAAATAAAATAAAACTTACAGTACTGTAAATCAAATGTTTCAATTTTCAAATACTTTAAATTTTAACCATTCATTCACAATACTGTGAATTAAATAGAATTTACAGGAATAAGTTCTTATTAAAACTATAATACAGTCGAACCTCCACTTACGACCACCTCCAAACAGCGGACATCCGTAAACGTCGGTCAATTTTTCAGAAAGATTTCTTTTCTACGTGCTTACTAATTAACCTCCGAACAACGGCATTTTCTTTCTTTAATTTCCATCAGTGACCGTTATTTAGAGGTTTAGATTTTTGTGTAAGGTTTTCTGAAAATTTAATTTTGTGAGTTTAAATTAATTTATATTGCTGTAAAAAAAATTTCATAAAATTACAGGTAGTGGATTTTCATTTACAACATTTTTAAATTTAAATTTTCAATTACATAATTTTATTTACAGCTGTAATTTTATATATTTTCTATTTTTGTCTACAGTGCTGTAAATGAAGTAAAATTTACAATTTTATTCATAAAAATATTCAATTTTGTATTTTTTATGAATATTTTATAAATATAATTTTATGAATTTAAATTAAATTTAGAATTATATAAA